TTGATTTCTTCTTACTGCAAGTGTTTAAAGTTCCTTGTTAGGAATAAATACATCAAAAATAGAAATATTTTCTTCTGAAATGGGCGATTTTTGTTTACCTGAATTGATTTAGACACGTTACATACCGGGTGCGTTTCAAAAGTGGCTCACCCCCTATAACTATTTTATTTTTTCAGATAAAAAAAACGACATTTGGTATGTTAGTATATGACATAAATTAGGATTGATTGATGCATTCAATTGTTTTTGGTCACTTCCTGTTCTACCGAAAAAAAACTACAACTTTTGATTTTTAAATGACACTCTCGGTATTTTTTTACATTATTCGATAGAAAATGACACTTTAAATGGAATTACATATTATATATCAACTTTTGACATTTTCGCTTATTGTTTATTTGAAATTGTAACATGCCGTTCATAACGACAATTTGACTCGAAATACCAAGTTTGTGGTACCAAATTATTCGTAAAAAAATGCTTTTTCTAAATACATATGCTAATGAGTTACCCTTGTTTCTTTTGAAAAAATTGAGATGTTGTTAAAAAACGATTTGTGCACCTTTTAACCGGCCAGGACAAGACATGAAAAACATTAGATGATCAAATATATTTTTACAAGGCTCCTTGATTTAAAATTAGCATTTTTAATACAGCCATGGCACTCTAGATTGAAATTTAAAATACGATTTTTTTGTAAGCAAAAATGTCAAAAATTGACATATGATATGTCATTCTATTCACGGTGTCATTTTCTATCGAATAAAGTAGAGGGTGCCATTTAACAATCAAAAGTTGTAGTCATTTCTGGTGAAACAGGAAGTGAGCAAAAACAATTGAATATGTCAATCAATCCTAAAATATGTCATATACTAGCATACCAAATCTCGTTTTTTATCTAAAAAAATAAAAAAGTTATAGGGGTGAGCCACTTTTGAGACACACCCGGCATTTATCTGTGTCATGAGAAAAAAACTAAGTTTATGAAGTGGTCAGATATGAAACTACTGAGGAAGATTTTTGGAGGAAACAAGATAGACAACATGGTGGACTAGAAGAACAAACGGAGAATTAAAGCAACTGCTTAAGTATCGTGAACTGAAATAGAGGGTTAAGACTGTGATGGCTAGAACATATTGAAATAATGGCTAAAACAAAGGTACCTATAATTATAATGATACGTGAAAGGTGGAAAGAAAAGCAGGAGTTGACTGAGAACCAGATGGAAAAGGGATGTTGAGAAGAATAAAAGTTAATGAGTGGGGAACAAAGAGGAAACACATAAATAAGGAAAAAATAACTAATCAAGTCATGAGCCAGGTTTTTGAGCTATTTTATATATACAGGGTGGCGCACCTCATTCGCTTCGGTTGATTATACGAAAATGGAAAGATGTAGAAACAAAATATTTTATGGGTATATGTGGGGAGACAATGTGTACAATTTAAAATTATTTTGAAATATACAGGGTGTTTCAGAACTAAGATCCATACTAAAGTAATATTTTTTCTTATGGAACACCCGGTATTTTATTTCATTTTTGGATTCTTGGGCCCAAAAAAGGGCATTTTTTGTAAGGGTTGTATATGTTTAAAATCTTTGGTTTTTGAGATATTTAGAGACATTTAAATTTGCCATGCTACAATAGAATAGAGTATTATCCCCTGTACATTACTTTTCAGAATTAATTCTTGTGCTGAGTTTAAAGGCAGGGAAATAAACTTTAGTGAAAAATGGTATTGCTTCTTTAAATTTATACAGGAGTGTCAATAATTGCTGATCTATTTTAAGGATTTATTTTACATGAAAACTTCGTTATTTTCAATACAACACTCTGTATCTTTTTAAACAAACCGAAACAGATTCAAGTGTTCTTTCAAACTATATTAGGGTTTCCTATACCTATCTAGCTCAGATTTTGAATAAAGGGTATTTTTTCAATAAAATTGCAACTAAAAGGGCTAGTGTCGTCATGACAAGTTTCTAGTGACAGTTAGTAGCTATTTTCAAAATCGAAATTACTTATATTTATACCAGTTTAATTATATTTAATTTACCTACAATAGTTTAATAAATAATATTTATTAAATATGTATTTATTATTCTATCAAGAAAAACGAAGAAGAAGTTCTTTGATTTATTTTACGATGCCTTGTAGATATATGGATTTTCTATAAAAGAGCCAATTACGGCAAATTTATTTTCTTCACTTCCAGTGACAGGCTGCCTAATAGGTTTTTTATAAACCACACTACCAGCTCTGCAAAATAGAATAAGTAGTTTTTCGAAGGAACGCTTATCAGGAAGATTCCTATTTGGATATCTTTGAGCATAAGCCTTCAGCCCAAGAAGCAATTTTCCTCAGAAATTATAATCACTAGTAACATATCCATTCGTTCCGGCAGCAGATACTGTGGTATTTTTCTTTTTGAAATAATGAATACTTACTTATTAAACTATTGTAGGCAAAACAAAGTAAACTGTTATAAATTATAAATAATAATGTCCATAAACTAATGTGGACATTGAAAATAGTTACTAACTGTCACTAGAAAATTGCCATGGTGACACCAGCCATCTTGATTGCAATTTTATTTAAAAATCGCTTTTTATTCAAAATCTGAGCTAGATAGGTATAGGAAACCCTAATATAGTTTTAAAGAGCATTCGAATCTGCTTCGACTTGTTTTAAAAAATACATGGTGTTGCATTTGAAATAACGAAGTTTCTATATAAAATAAATCCTAAAAATAGATCACCAATTTTTGATACCCCTGTATAAATTTAAGAAAGCACTACCATTTTTCAGTAAAGTTTATTTCTCTACCTTTAAACTCAGCACAAGAATTAATTCTGAAAAGTAATGTACAGGGTGTTAATAATCTATTCTATTGTAGCTGGCAAATTTAAATATCTCAAAAACCAAAGATTTTAAACATATTTAACCCTAATAATAAATGCCTTTTTTTTGGGCCCAAGAATCCAAAAATGAAATAAAATACCGGGTGTTCCATAAGAAAACATATAACTTTGGTATGGATCTTAGTTCTGAAACACCAAAATTGTGCATATTATCTCCCCATATATACCCATAAAATATTTTCTTTCTATATGTGTTTTCGTATAATCAACCGAGGCGAATGAGGTGCGCTACCCTGTATATATTTATTTGTTAAATGAAGATAGACGAATATCTCGAATTAAGTAATACATATGTTCGATATTTTGGTAACGACTCATTGAATTGATCCATTTTGGAATTTTTTTCCACGCCATTCCACGCCATTGGAACAATTTATTCCAATACGGTGGTTCACTCTGTCCACTGAATTGGATACTGATTTGTCCAAACATGGCCTGCAATCCATGCTTTTGAAGTCTCCTCTATTGTGCTGATACATATGTGCTGATCACCATCATCATCATGTTCTATGTGCTGATCATCTTAATAATTTTCAGATTATTCAACAATTTCCAATTATGGTGTAACCAACCTCACATATTTAGATAGGTACTCTCTTTGTAGTCGGGTAATAATGTCGTCTATGGTTGGCTATACGGGCCCAAGTTATCTCTGCTGATTTCCTAATATCCTCGCTAATATCATGACCCGTCTCAGGTTTGGTTTTCTTCTAACTCTTGCGTTTTAAAGCTATATGATTGTCAAGGTCAGTCTTGCTCCAATATTGACTTAAATACAGATGAGGATTTTAATGAGGAGACAACTGATGCATCTGTCATAGATGGATTTCCAGATATTCCGCAAGAAGATGAGAACGAAGAAAGCAAAGAAGACATTACTGTTGAAGTATCATTTGAAGATTACCTCTCAGATTAAAATTCTCTCAAAATCAATAATAATCCGTTCGACTATAATCATTACCAAGAGCACCGTTTTTTTAAAATTAATAGTATAATGTGTAATAAAACTTAACCACAATAGATCGTGGACTAGGCCTACAGGGAAAACCACGTTAAAAAAACTCGCCAAGTACACTACCTCACAGGTGGTGCGGAAATGTGTGCATATTATGAAAAATACGAGTTTTTCAACTTTATAAATCGCCATATCTCAGGAATGGTGGTTCGTAAGAAAAAAGTATAAGAACCGGTATTGTAGAAAATTTAATGGTCTACAACATTTGTTTATGGTACTTTTGCGATAGCGTTTACCGTTTAGGAGAAAAAAGCAAAAAAACATATTTTTGACTTTTGACCTTGAATAATTTTTTTAGCAGAGGTGGGAGGGGTGGGGATTTTTGAGATATCGTTTATAATAGTGTATTTAAGACCTGTACCAATGTGCGCGTTCAGGGAACACAGCGGCTGACTGACAGCTGAGACTTTTGCTCAGCGGCTGACTGTTTTTGGGTGTAAAACGAGACCGTTTAGGGAACCGCTTTACTCAGCCACTCAGCCGCTGACCGTCCCTGAACGCGCACAATTTTCAGCTCTATGCGAATTATTATTAAATGGAATGCCTATTTTGACTGGGGTATTCTGTCTACTAGTTCATACGTACATTACTTTAGTTTTGCTAAGCCATCTGAGTATTTAACATTAATTAAATTCTGATTAAATTAAGTCAAACATGACAGACTGGAACCAGCGACACCCTTTGTTATTCTCTACTTAATTAACTTAAATCATTCCTAGCTACAATTAACCATTTTCACATAGTTGATATTCATTTAACCATGAACGATTAAATGCATTAATACAAATATTCATTGTAATTATCCACTTAGAAAGTTGCGGTATGAGTAACTATAGAAATCACGCCAAAATTCACATAATAACCATTTCGAATAAATCGTGAAATCTTAAGAAATTAAGGTCACTTGCGTTAAGGGATCGACGCAAAGCAACAAGCCGATAATACCGCTAAAATTATCGAGTACGAGATAGGTAGACAGAGTTTAAAAATAAAATGAATCTGAGTAGGTAAGTAGAAATTTATGTAATATAAGAGTGTTTGGGGTGAATATATATGCACTTACCCTCATGTTAGAGGTGATTTTCCCATCCTTTCTTCGATCACTTAATTCACAACACCGTCATTCAGTTTGAATACTTGGCAAATTATTTTCGCCAGCGCACAAGTGCCCGAGTGCATTTTTCTTTCTTCATTACAAGCCGATCGCAACCGAGAATACATTAATAAATAAATAATAAATACTCCTTTTCAACTCCTACGGGTTTTTAGCCGTAAAAATGATCGCGTTTCGTTACCTACACGTCCAATATGAGCAAAATTTAGGTCGATTTTCGATGAGAACTTCGCCAGACACTTGCTATGGTCAAACACACGAATTTGTAGACCACGAACCGACTCCACTCTTGCAAAATTAATCGCTGTTACCTTTTAGTTTTTTACTTGGAACGGTTTAAAATCGTAATTTTATATCGTAACAGTTTCTTGTCAAACCGTCATTGTTTACATTCGGTGATTAGATTGAGCTACGCCATACGGCACGGCACGTGTCTTTTTCGGTCGCGCGAACAAAGTACGGGCGTTTGTCTGTGATGAACTGTTGAATAATTTTCAGTTTCGTAACATCTATAACGACTCTTTATTTCAAACGGGTTTTGTAATAAATCAGAACAGGTGTATTAAAGAATGATATTAACAAATAGTTATGATGATTGTTATACTTAGCGAATATATATAACGGAAACAGTTGTTTCGACAGCCTATTATATTCTGAGGAGGGAAAAAAGCAAAACGATATATCAAGGAATAATTAGGCAACCCATATAACGGACTATGAAATACATAATGTTATTAAACTTTTTATGCACATCTGTTAGGGACTCATTAAATTGCTACGTTTTGTTACAGAAAATGTTAGATTTTTAAGATACCTAGATAGAGTAATTATAAAAATATAAATACTTGAATTCTGAATATTATATCCATCATATTATCTGTAATCTTAGTTGCGGAATATCAGATTTAATAAAACAAATATTTTGTGCGTTCACCATTTTGTCAAGAAAATTTGAATTATTTTTAGGGCTGTTATTTTAAATGCACGAAAACTAAGCTAAATATTATAACAATTTTACTTCGTTCTATTTATTAAATATAAAAGTAACTCTCGTCTAAATTAACTACCTACTATACTCATTTTAATTTATAGTTGTTAAATATGGTTGTTAAATAACTAATACTGTCATATTTTGGAAACAATATCTTGACTGATTGAACTTTGGAAAAAATGAGTATGACTTTGTTGACAAACGTGTATGTAATTAATATGTCAAAAATTAAGTCAAAATCATTGCCAAGTAATATTATAATTCTATTATAATGGTATAATTTTGCTTCGTCTGGTTTTCGGATATTTTCACATAAGAATTTTAATAAAACCATTTTAATCTTTTGATCAAGTATTTGTGCATTCACCATTTAGTAAACAAACCCTTGAAAAACTAAAATGCTTTTTGGTTCTTGAAATTTGAAGTATTAACTTAAAACTACCTACTCCATACTTCAAATGGGATAAATGAAGTCCTAAATGTCCACATTTTCCCAGCCTTCAAATAATGATGTTATTTAAATATAAATAATAATTTGTGATACAGGGTGGTGCCTCTCATACGACGCCGATGCTCCAAGGAGAACGATGGTTTATATCGAAATAAAAATATCGGAGTATATGAAAATGGTTAATTGAAAGCATTTTATAAAAATATATGTATAGAGTAACTACAGGGTGTCCCAAAAAAGTTATGCTTCAATGTTGGGTTTTCTATAGTGGAACACGCCATATATTAATTGATTCTCGGATTTTAGGAAAAAAATAAAGGTGAATTTCATTAACGAAGCATAGATATGCCTAAAATGTAAGGTTTTTGGCATACTTAACATTTTGTGAAAATGAAGAATTCATTTTGAATTTCAATAACAGCTACCTAAATTGTAATTTATTCTGTATAGCCTGATGTTTAGTTAAAATAAGCATTGTCTTAATAGTATTTTGAAGAGACATGAGTTCCCCATTGGATATCGGAATAATATATTGACTGGGCGTTCCATTTAAAATAATAGAGTATCTTGCTTTTAAAAGTGGCCAATATTCAATATTAATTTTTTGTCTTACCTTGTATAATTTTTTGGGTCATGTTGTAATTTGATTTAAAGTACAATCAAAGAGTACAATAGTTATTTTACCTACATATACCGGGTGTTGCATCGTCGGACGGGACATAGGAAATCCCATGTAAATTTTAATGGGGTCAATTATTGACTTCCCTAATTATTTTAGAGAATAATTCTATTTAGGTTTATTGAAAAGTACTAAAACCCACATTCAAATGAATAACTTTAGATATTTTTGATTAGCTCGTTTACGAGTAATCGCCGATTTCTTTTTAAATGTTTCTCCTTTCTTATGGCCCTGTATTTACTTATGAGTTTATGCTTATGAGCACCAGTCAAGGTAAAAGATAACTGTCAAATGAAGTTGTCATTTCAGAAATTTACCTATTTAGTGCTTTATTACTATTGAAAACTCATTCCTACATCGGAAATCTTAAAGATGTATTTATAAATACAAATTAATATGAATTAAAGTAAAATAAAGTGATCAATTACAAGGTTAATTATAGTATTATTACAATATTCAATAACTTATTAATTTAGGTACTATTAAATTGTTACAACTTTAGGATTTAAGAAGATGTTCAAATATTCCTCCATCGACTGCTAGACAATAACCCAGGCGACTATAAAATTGTCTTCTTACATTCGTTAGTTGGTAAACTGAAATTCTATTGCATTCGGCAGAAATAGCATTTTTTAACTCGTCTACGAGTAGATTTGGGTATTTTTTATCCTTGTGTATCCTGTTTTTTAAATGGCCCCAGAGAAAAAAATCATTTGGCGAAATATCAGGAGACCTTGCTGGCCAATTTACTGTATGATTTAGGCCAATAACGTTTCCGTTAAAACTATTGTCTAAATATTCCCGAACAGCCAGGGTACTATGTGCCGGGCAGCCATCCATTTGGTACCAAACTTCCTGATTTTCTCTAGCGGCATCATGTAAAGCAGGTAAAATATGATTTTTGAGTAGTTCCAAATAATATTCTGCATTTAAATTTTGCGTAAGAAATAATGGCCCGATAATATTGTGTCCGAATATCACTGCCCAAGGTAAACGTGCATTCGTCAGTGAAACATATGCTTTTTAAAAATTCCCTATCCGTGTTTGCTCTTTCCATCATATCAAAACAAAACGCCTGCCGCCGTATTTCGTCCCCATCTCGTAGCTCTTGGTGCTTTTCATATTTGAAGGAATAGTATTTATGTCGTTTCAAAATTCGAAACCCTGTAGTGTGATCTATTCCTATTTCATCCTCAAGTTTCCTTGTGCTTATCTTTCTATCGTTCTCTTCCACGCACAATAAAACTTCCAAGTCGGTATCATTTCTTGCATCTTCTCTTTGTTCCTGCCTTGCTTCACATCTGCAGTTATTTATTAGGGTAACTTTTTGGTCTCAAATCTGTGGATAGTCCTTGCGATTGTAGGTTTTCCAGGTATCGGTCTATTCGGATACAGAGCAGCAAACATGTCGGACACCTTTTGATAACTATTTCCTTGATAATACCATTTATTCATCAATACTTTTTCTTTGGTAATTCATGACTAATATTTTCGATGTAGGTATGAGTTTTTAATAATAATAATAAAGCACTAAATAGATAAATTTTTGAAATGATAACTTCATTTGACATTTATCTTTTACCTTGACTGGTGCTCATAAGTAAATACCGGGCCATAAGAAAGGAGAAATATTTAAAAAGAAATCGGCGATAACTCGTAAACGGGCTAATCAAAAATATCTAAAGTTATTCTTTTGAATGTGGGTTTTAGTGCTCTTCAATAAACCTAAATAGAATTATTCTCTAAAATAATTAGGGAAGCCAATAATTGACCCCATTAAAATTTACATGGGATTTCCTATGTCCCGCTCGACGATGCAACACCCGGTATAGGCTATACCGGGTAAATTCCAATTTAGGTAACTTTCATTGAAATTTAAAATTTGTTCTTCGTTTTTAGAACATGTTAAATATGTCAGAAACTTTACATTTTAGTCGTATAGTTCTCTAATGAAACTCACCTCTCTATATTTTAAAAAAAATGCTCTAAATTAACCTAAAAGCACCCAAAATTTCATTTCAATACAAACTGTCGTTCTCTTTGGACCCTCCGCGTCGTATGAGCGGTACCACCCTGTATATAGGTAAACAAGTAGTAGGAGTTTTTTAAGTATACTTTATTAAAATGATAGATACATAATTATTTTTTCGAGCTTTGTTAATGTTATTAATAATAAATTAAATTTTAAGAAAAAAATATAATTTAAAATCCACGAGGTGACTACAATAATTTTATTCGTTTGTATAAATTCTTTTATTCGGGTCATTGAGATAGTAGTGACGCTGCTAATAGCCTTGATGGATGGACGAATTTTACAAAGTGGTATCATCAAATGTGGAATTAATACTAGTTCAAGTCGAGTTTCTATCAAGTTTGAAGAACATTTGATTTTTGTTATGGTCATTTCATATTAAAATATAAAATATTTTAAATCTAAATAATAAAACGCTAATAGATAATAATCAAAATATCTGTATTTTAGATGCAAATAATTATTGAGCTAAAAATATCATAGGGTCGAGATAAAAAAACGGCGCCAAAGACGGCAGGGAATCGATGATAATTTTGGCGAGGTCAAGCCCTAGACTTCATTTACTAATTACCAATTGCCAAACGTATAATTCAATATGATATCATTTTGGAACAAACGACTCCATTTCTTGAAATGATGTAGCAATTTTTTCAAGACACTATACGGGGTTGTTCACCACATACGACACGGAGTATTGTAGCTAAACGATTAGATTTTTAAAAATTGTAAGTTTTGGGTTCGTTGAAGGTCTATTAGAGCTACAATTTAAACATATTTTTACAAGATACAGAGTGTCCCAAATAAGTAAAAAGGTTTATCACACTTAAACATTACCGTTTTTGAAATATTTTCAATTTTATGAAATTGCAGTAAAAATTTTAAGGCTTTATTTCTCCCAGAGTATCAAAGTTTTTAATACTAAATATTTACTGAAGATTATTTATTGATAAGATATTGTGTTGCAATAATAAAAATTTTACTACCTTATACAGAGTGTCCAAAAATTTATATTAAATAATTACTAGCTTTAAACGGCAATAACTTGTTTAATTTAAATGGAACACCCTATATATTTTACGTGAATCTATAAAAAAATACAACAACACTTTTTTTACATATTTTAAGATTTTTTAAAAATGTATACAGGGTGTTTCGAAAAATCTGGTTATTGATTAATCACGATCCTGCTTAAAGCGCTTGACGTAAAGAGCTGATTTTTGGAAAAC